GCGCATCCGATTGTAATATAGCAACTGCCCTCATCTTCATAATGAAATTGGTCATTTGTGAATTGAATTGCATTGTCTCTGATCTTGTTGAAGGTCCAGCGTTTTAGGAGAGGCTCAGCGATATTATAAAAATTGTCCCACTTAAAACGTTGTACACGACCATGAGGATAGTAGTTATCTTCCTTCGTTAGTCAACGTTGCATAGCACAGTACCTTTATGTAAGTGAACATATTTCTTTAAGAACATAATAAAATTGAACAATAGCATGAACTATGTAAGGAACAAAAAGGTAAAATCATGGTTGCACACCAATGGCGCACTTTAGGCCTGTTAATTTCGCTGTAAAGTTCAAAGTAAATTTCTTGTCTCAATTTCTCAACAAGATGAGTGATCAGGCCAACAAATCTTGTGGCGTAAAAGTCAGACATAGGTGGGTAAGTCAACCTACAGTAGCAGAACATTTTTACCGTAGATATGAGGTAGTACCAGTTAGAAGACTTGTAACTATTTAACTCGAGCAACAAGAAACTTGGGTGTGGAAGAAAACTGTACTTACATGGATGAGAAGGAAGCGGAGTGGACCGAGTCCAGAATTCTGGGGGCATTGGGTTGCTACCTTCCAGTCATACACACCAAGAATCTGCAACACAAGTTAAACCATTTGAACAATAAAATGTCTTTTAAGACACATTCCTTAAGTTTGCATCCTTTTGCAGTATGACATACTACTATTTAAATCAACTAGTACATTATACGCACCGCCATCCAAGTTTTTCCCCATGATGCATAATAGTAGGCACCACCACAGGGCCATCTCCGAGAATAGGCATCATATAGTAGTTAATGAATGTAGTAAACATCATACTAGGCCCTGCTATGTGCAATCCCAAGCCACCATCTTCATTTTGATGGTCGTATGTGTAACGTAAGATTTCTTTTTTGTGCTCAACTGTGAAAATGACATTAAGACTGGAATCTATGCAGATTACCTTTTTGGCAATAGAGAAAAAAAATATAACAATTCTTGTCACATATGTATAATTAAACAGATTTTTTAAATAATGCACGATTAAAGGTTCAGCCCCTATATTTTACCAAAAAAAAAAAAAAAAAGATCAGCCCCTATTCTATAAGAAAAAGTCAGCCTCTATAATGCATGAGGTGTCCCCCTTTTCTCTCTCGCTGTCAACAGTCTCTAGTAAATGCAAAAAATATCTTATATGTAGTGGCAGATTTAGAATATTGTTCTTGTGACGGTTAAAACATAAAAACAACCCATATAATTACATAAATATTAATGCATGGTCATTTATAATTGGACTTAATATCAACTGCATATCAACTGTGACGGTTAAAAAAAAAAACCCATATAATTACATAAATATTAATGCATGATCATTTATAATTGGACTTAATATCAACTGTGACGGTTAAAAAAAAAAAAAAAACCCATGTAATACATTATATTGATGCATGGTCATTTATAATTGGACTTCATATCAACTGTGAACAATAAATACATGTACTTCTGATATTTGATCCCAGCCTTTGATATCAAATTCAAAAATAGGTGACAATGTATCCTTATCATGAGTGATCAAGAGAGCACAATTCTATGTAATTAGTAAAAAGTTTCAAACTTTGAATATGAATAACATTTCTAGTGAGTAGATTTGGGGTGTTCTACCCCCTTAGATCACCTCCAATGTCAAATCTCGGCTCGGGCCCTCACCACATCCCTGACTCGACTCCATCGTAGCACGATATTATCCGTTTTGGGCTCCGACCACGTCCTCATGATTTTGTTTGTGGGAACTCACAAGCAACTTCCTAGTAGGTCACCCATTATGGGATTGCTCTCGCGCGAACTCGCTTAACTTCAGAGTTCTGATGGAACTCGAATCCAATGAGCTCCCAAAAGGCCTAGTGCTAGATAGACATGGGAATATACATAAAAGGCTTAAAGGATCCATTCTCCTGGGCGATGTGGGATGTAACAATCCACCCCCTTTAGGGGTCTGACGTCCTTGTCGGTACACTTTTGGCCAGGGATCGGCTCTGATACCAAATTGTCACATCCCGGCCTAAGCCCCCACCACATCCCGAGCTCGACTCCACAGTAGTACGATATTGTTTGCTTTGAGCCACAACCATACCCTCACGATTTTGTTTCTAGGAACTCACGAGCAACTCCCAGTGGGTCACCCATCATGGTATTGCTACCGCGCAAACTCGCTTAACTTTGAAGTTCTGATGGAACTCGAAGTCAGTGAGCTCCCAAAAGGCCTTGTGCTAGGTAGAGATGAGAATATACATATAAGGCTTAGAGGATCCATTCCCCTGGGCGATGTGGGATATAACAATATTATATACATATATATAATATGACATAAAATGCATAAGTTGTAACGCCCTACTAATCCTTCTTAACTCTTTCTTTTGGTTGATAACGGAGCATACAATGCGAAAGACAACAAAAACTATATAAGAATGTTACGAGGCCTAGCGATTAGTAGTGGACAATAAAGAAATTTTTTCTCGAAAATGATGAATTCCAAATTGTAATATAAACACAAACGAGGAAAGTAATCATCAACAAAATTCGTTTTCCGACAAATATATATGCCAAATTTTACAAAACTAACTCCAGTGAAAAAGCACACGATAAATAATACTCTCATAATAATTTTACGACAAATATATATGCCAAATTTTATAAAACTAACTCCAATGAATAAGATCACGACAAATAATACTCCCATAATAAATTAAAACATAATTATATGTAATAGCTCATAATAAATTGAAACATACATTACAAAACTTTGATAAAAAAAAAATTGATGAGGTTAATGTAAATGATGCATATATATAATCAACATCTAATGAGAAAAACGTATTACTTGACACAAAACGTATACATTCCTTATTATATTAGATGGTATGCTAATACCGTACAAAAATTTAATCTCCTTAACATTTTTCATATTATATACAATAATGTCTCGATAATATATGGTTGTGATTGGTGGTGACCCTAGTTTTGAAATAAAATGGTTATGGTGAGCAAGGACAATGTAGATGAATAAGCAGTTATGTAGTGAATAGTGGCTATGCTAGACTTTGTTCGTGACAATGATCCAGCTGTGGATTATATTTATCATTATCCAGCTATACTGGTAGCTGTTAGAAGTTAGATCTGATTAATTTAATGCAAATTATGCAACAAGAACCAATTTTCCATTCAATTCAACAAAACAGTCAAACTACTGGTATTTTAATTATACAACAATATTTTTTTGAGTAAATTGTAACAATAGTCCCTCAACTTTAATCAAATTGGAGCAATAGTTTATCAACTAATAATCTATTACCATTAGTCCATAAACTTATCTAAATGTGTAGCTATGATCATTTTCGTCAACTTCGTCAGAATTTTGTCAAAATAAGTTATATTGGAAGGACCATTGCTACAATTGAGTTAGAGTTGAGGGACCATTTCTCCAGTTGGATTAAAGTTGAGGAACCATTAGTAATGTATTTTTTAGTTGAGGGACTATAGATGCATGTTTTGATGAGTTGAGAGACCAATGATAATTGATTTTTAGTTGAGTGATCATTGCTCTAATTGAGTTAAAATTAAGGGACAATTGTTACAATTTACTCTATTCTTTTAGGGGAGGTAAATTCTTGTGATGATGTGAAAAAATATCTCATACGAGAAATTTGTCAAAAGATTTCTAAGGAGTTGGTTTAATAGACCTTAACTTCCTTCGATTTTAACATTTTTTACAAGAAGCGACAACAAAATTCCATTAATGGACTGTAATAGTTACCAAGGTTACCACATGAGTGTATTTTCCAATTAAATTTAATGATATGGAGATCACCAAATAACTAACATAAGCACGGAGTATGATTCTCTCCCCTCCTATTACCATCCCCTCCACTCAAAAAAATTCAAAACAAGATGTAGACATGGCGTAATCGCAACCGTTTAAATATGAGGGGATGAAAGGGAAGAGAGATTAGAAGGGTAGAGAATCATACTCCCATAAGCACATACACTACCGGTACTAGCACAAGCACCAACATTATAGATTTACGGGAACTTTAACGAAAAGCTCCTGGTACTGTTAACTATATTTTTACACTAAAAAGTCAATCCTGGTATTATTCACTTTACCCTTTATTTTATTTTTATTGTTAAAACTTAAAATTTTCAATTCTTTTTTATTAATTTTTTTTTTTTAAATTTACCCCTAAAAAAATAACAGATCAACTTTAAGTACAAGTAATTGAGTACACTTTTTCTGTCGAAGTCTAAAGCAGTATTTAACTATATAAATAGTGCTGATATTTTTTGTATAAATGCACAATTATTGTCCTTCGATGGGCTCACATGGCCAGCAAAAAGGAAGAAAGAAATCTAAAAAATTGATGTGGACACGACTTCTTCACATGCATTGAGTGAAGTACTGAAATTACATATATATTTTGTTTTTATTTTGCAAAAAAAGTTATAATCTCATTAGCAGAGAGAGAGAGAGAGAACAAAGAAGGAAAACCAAGCTGTCTCATCCGGAAGTGTATCTTCTCCGGACCTACGTTACAAGATCTTAAAAATCCTTGTATCTTAATTTTTTATTGTATATTATATAATTAATTTTCGTCGAATAATATTAATATTTAATTTTATATAAAAAAATCAAATGATTTGTAATTCCAATCCGGATCCAAATCCGTCCCCTCCCCTGTCAGTTTTCTTCCCAGAGTACCAAGTGGCAACTTTCAAGTGCCCAATTCCAAGTTTCTCTCTTTCCACTCAGAACTCAATTCCAAGTTGAAGAAACAGAGTCTTTCTTTCAAACTGAAAGTTCAATGATCAATTTCTCCAATTAACACAAAACCCATAAAAAAAGATTCAAACTTTATTTGGCATTGATTGGAAAATTTGCAAGAACTCATTAGTTCTGAAGAATTAAAAGAGAAGTGAAAAATGTGGAAGCTGAAGGTAGGGGCAGAGACAGTAGGAGGAGAAAGTGGAGGTCAGTGGCTGAAGAGTGTGAACAACCACTTGGGCCGCCAAGTGTGGGAGTTCCATCCAGAGATTGGAACCCCAGAAGAGCTTCAACAAATTGAAGATGCCCGCAAGGCTTTCTGGAACAATCGTTTCGAAAGGCGGCACAGCTCTGACCTCCTCATGAGCATTCAGGTTCTTTTTCACCTGGGTTTTGCCTTTTTTTTTTTCATTTTTTATTTTTTATTTTTTATATTTCATTCTCTAGAAATTGAATATACTGCATATGGCTGGGAAAAGGGTATTTATTTATTAGTGAAATTTGTATGTAAACTATTTAAATTATCGTTGTGGTGTTCTGGATCATCGAATTATATATAAAATCAGTAGAACTGCTGAATTTGATAATGCTGTTGAACAAGATTGTCAGGTTTTTCACACTGCATTGTAGGCTTTCTTGTGTAGCATTAGGCTTTGTAAGTTTGAATGATGTTTTTCTTTCGAGTGATATGTGTTTCGGGTACCGTGTTCTCCAACTGAGCTCTCGGAGTGCTTTTGTATAAAACTTATAGCTGCCGCCTGAAGTATGGCTATGTCCTTACTCCCTGCCATTTCATCCAGGTCTCTCATCATTATTGGACATTTCATTTCGGTGCTTTAAGTTCATTCTAGGCAGGATAAGATAAATTCAAACCTCCTTTCATTAAAAATCTTGATTAAATAACAGAGGTCTTACTAGCATTAATATGTCCATAGACTTGTCCATGCTGTTAACTGCCTAACTTCTAATCTTTACGGTTTATGAATTTCAAATTTTACACTTACAGGAAGAATGTGGTGTCATTGCCGAATGGTGTATTTGCCTATGTCGTATTTGTATGGGAAAAGGTTTGTTGGACCTATCACACCCACAATCCGGTCATTGAGGAAGGAGCTTTATACAGTCCCCTATCATGAAGTTGACTGGAATAAAGCTCGCAATCTATGTGCAAAGGTTGGTAAGAAACATCTGCGCCTTCAATATACTCTGCTTCCTCCAGCTACCCTGCGTAAAGATCCCGTGTCTGTGAGTTTAATGAACATTCTTATCTTTCATAGGGTTAGTCACAGACTCACAGGTGAAATATATGATAGCTATTTATGAAAGTACAAATTTGATTTTAGGGTCCTGGACATGGTTAATTGTTGGATTACTTTCCTATAACTCTCCAAATACAATAAAACATGTTTTCCCAGCATCTATGTATATGTGCGCATGCATTTTTCCATCGAATTTTAGTTGTACAGGTAAATCTATTAATGACAATTCACTTGCATATGTTTTTGATGCTTACATGGGATGCTTTATACAATTTCTAGGAAGATCTATACTATCCACACCCAATGGTACAAGATGTCTTGTGGGGGTCTCTTCACTATGTTTATGAACCTGTTTTCACACGTTGGCCTGCAAAACAATTGAGGGAGAGTGCTTTGAAGACTGTAATGCAGCATATTCATTATGAAGATGAAAATACTCGGTACATATGCATAGGGCCTGTTAACAAGGTATGCATGCAGAATATATTTTATGCATATCATCATCTGCCAATAGATCTCATACATATTTTGCCATTGGAATTGCGCAATTGACATGTATTTTTGTCTTATAGATTGATTCGGTAAGTAGTTGCGTGATTCTTGATTGTCTATTTCCTAAACGATGTAGGTGTTAAATATGCTTTGTTGTTGGGCGGAGGATCCAAACTCAGAGGCATTCAAATTGCATCTCCCGAGAATCCCTGATTATTTGTGGATTGCTGAAGATGGCATGAAAATGCAGGTCAGTTATAGCATTAAATTGTTTCGAACAGATTTTAAGTTCCTCCCTATCTCTTTCCACACTCCCTCTTTCCTACCTGATTGTTTCTAATTTAATGTTAGTTTTCCTTTTACTGCAGGGCTACAGTGGAAGTCAAGCATGGGATACTTCTTTTGCCATTCAAGCGATTATATCAACTAACCTCGTTGAAGAATATGGACCTACTTTAAGAAAAGCGCATCAGTATATCAAAGATTCCCAGGTTTTCATAGGCAGAAATCGAACTGTATCATTCAACATTTATGATAATTATCGTTGCTCAACTAATACTTTGATTTGAAGGTCTTGGAAGATTGTCCTGGAGAACTGGATTATTGGTATCGTCACATTTCAAAAGGTGCTTGGCCATTCTCAACAGCAGATCATGGGTGGCCTATCTCTGACTGCACAGCTGAAGGACTGAAAGTAGCTTGAGCACTCAACATTTCACATGCTGCTTTTCTTAATATTTTTTCTTTGTGCAGGCTGCCTTATTACTATCGAAACTTCCAACACAAACAGTTGGTGAATCATTGGATATGAAGCGATTTTATGATGCTGTAAATGTTACCCTTTCCTTACAGGTAATCACTGGCTGTACGGGAATTGAATCTGACCAGACATGATGCGGCAACCCGTATTCTTTATGATAAACTATATTTTCAAGAGAACCCTCCTTGTCTCTCGTGATATATGAAATGAAAAATATATCCCTGCTTAATTGACCATTTTATTATGTAATCTGTAAACTACGGTAAAAAATATTACTCTAATATCCATCAAAAAATTGGAAGCTATGGAGAAAGTGTAGGATATATAGATATGAGAATATAAAAGAAAGACTGTACATGTAAGTATGTCTGTATGATATATGCACACATGCATGTTTAGTTCTGTCAAGCATGTCATGATTTTTAATCGGCAGCTCAAGTCTAAATTTGTTGACAGAATATTTACATGTTCCTGCATTTTTGTTTTACAATTATTTAACTAATTCCTTAATCTTTGGGTTCTGTACCGCAGAATGACGATGGTGGTTTTGCCACTTATGAACTAACTAGATCGTATCAGTGGTTAGAGGTAAGTATCATTTATGAGCTTTTTTTATTTCCTTTTCTTCCTTCTATATGGATGATGGTGAGATCATATGCATATGATTATTTGTATTCTATTTTCAGCTAATCAACCCTGCTGAAACTTTTGGTGACATCGTCATTGATTATCCGTACGATTTCTGTACACTACCTTTTGAATTCCATACATTTTATTCTATATCATGGAAAATGCCTGATTGGAACGGGGATGCAGATATGTTGAATGCACCTCAGCAGCAATTCAAGCACTTGCATTGTTCAAAAGGTTATGTCCTGGGCATAGGAGTGATGAAATAGAAAACTGCATTGCTCGTGCTGCAAAGTTCATTGAAACGATACAAGCAGCAGATGGATCTTGGTTTGTTTTGTCTTTCAATTAAAAATACATGCATACATATACGGGACATTTCAATGCGTGGTCTGGGTGTATGATTGATCTATGTTTTTGGTTGTATAGGTATGGTTCCTGGGGAGTATGCTTCACCTATGCTGGCTGGTTTGGAATAAAGGGGTTAGTTGCCGCGGGAAGGACATACGAAGACTGCTCAAGCATCCATAAAGCATGCGACTTTTTGTTATCCAAAGAGCTTCCTTCAGGTGGATGGGGAGAAAGCTATCTATCATGTCAGAACAAGGTTAATGATTCCTCAAATTTGAAATATACTTCGTTGTCTTTCATATTCCCGGAGCTTACTTTATTCCTCTATTATGACAAATCCTTCACTCAATTCTTGGTTTTCATTTGCATACGCATTTGTCAAAATGTATGATCTACTTTCGACTTGCATAACTTAATGCCGACTGTTTGTGTGTCAGGTGTATACAAATCTCAAGGACAATAGGCCAAATATAGTTCAAACTGCATGGGCTATGTTGGCCCTTATTGGTGCTGGGCAGGTACAACAAATTCATCACTCATTCTCCTTTCCATGTGATTTATCAAATTCATCCTTCTCCCATGGATACCCAATTTGGTGTATATTAGAATTTAGAGCATTATTCATTTGAACCTTTTTACGAATAACCGTTTGACAGCCATATGTTCCTCACTTTAATACCTGTATTTCTTGTTATGTTCTCCTCCTTGAAAGGCTAAGAGAGACCCAACTCCGTTGCATCGGGCAGCTAGAGTACTAATCAATTCTCAAATGAAAAATGGAGATTTCCCTCAGAAGGTAAATTGGCAACTCTTTCCATAATGTTTCACACAAGCGTCTTTATACCCTCTTGACCGTGCAATCTACAATTACAAGCTAACATGGTTTTTTCTGTCTTCATAGAAATCCATTTGGTTTGGTTTGATTACAGACATGCTAACTGCAATTTTCAAAACATCTTGCCAATGTAGAAGAAAACTGTACAGAGAGAAATGCAGGTGTAAAGACCTTTAGTACTTTTCTAGGCTGCAGAGAGTAATTAAACCTTATAAATATATGTATAGCTTTTGGAGCAAGTAATATAAGTAATTAGTGTTATTCAAATAGGCAAATTGAACAATCTTAAGTGTTGAGAATATAAATCCCACATCAGGAAAATGAGGGACCTTGCATGTGCTTATAAGTAAGTGGATTACACCTCCTGTTTCCAATTGGTTTTATGGTGGAACCTCAACTTTATTCATGGTATCAAAGTAGGTTGTCCTTGTGTGAAGATCTACAGGCACACGTGCTCCACGTCACACGATTTGTGTTGTCCATGTGTTAGGCTTGAAAGTTCGCCACACATGAGGGATGTGTTGAGAGTACGTATTAATCACACATTGAGGACAAAAGGGACCTTGAATGTGCTTATAAGTTGTTGGGCTACTTTTCATATTACTAATTGGTTTTACGATGGAACCTCCGCTTTCTTCATTGAGTATATATGTACCGGAAACCAAGATCTTAGAGTGTAAATCTCATGCAGGAAGTTTGTAACTATGATTACCACTTACGAAGGCTATATGACCTCAATAACGTTTACACTTCCCATACAGGAGATCACTGGTGTCTTCAACAAGAACTGTATGATCAGCTATTCAGCCTACCGGAACATTTTTCCCATTTGGGCCCTTGGAGAATATCGTTGCCGAGTATTGGAGGCTCTCTGAATGACGTCTGTTTATTGTTCAACGCTTAGTACTCCGGATAATGAACTGTTGTTTATAAACCTGTGTGATTGCTCCTTAAATTCAGCTCAAAACAATGTAATTCAATTGCTAACATATTTCATAATCTTATTGTTATTAATTTCCCACTGGCTTGGGTGTTCACACCACCACCTTCCTTGTGTTTGTCGTTCTCGGCTCCGTTGCCCATGGGATGTAATTTCCCTCTGGCTTCCTTTGTTTTGTGGTTTAGATCTTTGTTGTGGTTGTTAGTGGATGTTGAAAATTTCTTATTTTCCGATTTTGGGGCTTGGAGTGATTTGATCTCCAGCGTCTCTTGGAGGTGCTGGTTCTTGCTGGATTGGAGGTTGCTCGGTTGGAGGTGCTCCGACGGCGGCTGGGATGGTAGGCTGCTAGTATATATTTGTAATATTGTGTTATCAAATCATTGAATTACAATTCTATATGGTATTACTAGTTTTAGGTTCCCTTTTCCTAGTACAACCCTAGCCTCCTTCCTCTTTCTTCCCAATTTGCCGTCCCCTTCTAAGTTAATAGTCCCCAAATTGTTTTTCATTTGCCGTGCCTACCTACTCCCTATTCCCCATGGCTACACAAGCTTCCTCATCCTCTACCCTCACTAGACCCTCTCTCTCCTGTCCTAGCGTTGCTCACTTTATGAAACTCACCGATTCCAACTACCTCTTTTGGCTTAGTCAGATGAAGCTGTTTCTTCTCGGTCACAATTTATTTGGCTATGCTGATGGCATGACTTTGGCCCCTGCCGTCACTCTTCTTGCTATTGACAAGGAACCTATCAAACCGAATCCAACTATTGCTCTGTGGTTTCAGACTGATCAACTGGTTGTCAGTTATTTGACTTCCACTCTTTGTGAACCTATTTTGTCACTTACTATTGGCAAAACCTCTGCCAAAGATATCCATATGCATTTTTCTCAGGCTTCACTGACTAGTGCCACAAATCTTCGGTTTCAACTTCTGGCACTTACGAAAAGCTCCTGCTCCATCTCTAATTATCTTCACCAGGCTAAGTTTATTGTTCTCTTGCTCCTATTAATCAACATATTTCTAATACTGATTTGGTGAGCTTTGTCCTTAAAGGTCTTGATCCTGATTTTTAAATATTTGCAGCGGCTATTATTAACCCTCCCTCTACCGGAGTTCCCTGATTTGCCATCGCGTCTCATGACTTTCGAGTTTCGAGGCACAAACAAAAACTGACCCAGCATTGTTGTTATTTATTTAAAGCATGTATTGTCTTACTTGAAAACCTTCAAGGCCTAAACATCGATTCATATGTTATCTAATGTTAGAAATGACTTGGGGGTGTATTTAGATAATAAAATTTATTTAAAATCCTTCTACGCCTAAATAGTCATTTCTTATTACAACACATTAGTCATATAATTTTAAATTTTGAAGCTGGCTGCATGCATTTGACAAAATGTTGGGTAGCCATAAAATAACCAAAAGAGAATTAATAAATAAAAATAATTAAGTGGGTGAAGACGGTGACAAGAGGTGGGTAGAAATCGTTTTCCCAAATTAAGTATAGGAGATGGTCTCCCTGGATAGCCTCCTTGCATCTATCTTCGCACTTTGCACTTGGGTCGCTTGAATCCCCTTCTGGGTTGGTTGAAGTTGGCCCTAGTATCCTTTCATTTTATAAACTTTGTCATGCAAACTACCTTAATTATCCTCCTCCATGCACTTTGAATCCGGGTTTTTATGCTTTTGTCCGTTTCGGATTGCAAGTTCACCTTACATGGTTATAGCCACCAACCCCACATGTTCGAAATGGCGCTAGGTCAGGAAGATTCAGTGCGGGTTTAAGATGCCACTAGCCGAGGAACTCGTCATTCATTTTAAACCACTAGGCCTTTATTTTTTTATTTATTTTTACTTATTTTCTTGGTCCAAAATATTACGCTTAACAATTTCTTGCACAACCCGTTAACTCAACATGAAACGACACGAAAATAATAGGTTACGATTCATCCGTTAACGAGTCGGGTGGTTATCAGGTCACCCATTAAGAATCCCTTTATAAGTCTGGTCATCATCGAGTCACCCGTTAAAAACCTAAATAAGAAATAGTTTGCAAGATCTAGACATAACATGACAACTTTTTGCATGACCCATTAACTTGACACGAAACGACACTATCCATTAACAAATCGGGTCGTTATTGAGTCACTTGTTAAGAACGTGTTAAGATAACAAGTTTGATGCGACAAAACCTGTTAAGATAATGGATATGACATGAAACAATAAATACAACTTGTTTACAAGGTCTACAAAATAGCATAAAATTAAATATACTAATTAATCTATATAGATATAATGTTGTTAGCAAACCAATTTATTACTGTAGAGATGTTCTTACTTAATAGAGGTGTAGCTACACAAATTATTTTTTAACTTAGTCATACTTTAAAAGTTGTATGAATACAAAGAACTACATTAGTAGTGGAACATGTCAATTTCAAGATGCTGACATTGAAAAAAGAGAAAACGCCTATTCTCTAATGGCTAATGCTTGTATGTATAATGCTCTCTTTAATGTCACAAGTTTCATGCCAACAACAAGGTTCCGACGAGTTATTACGTACTCACGCTCAAAAACAAGACATTTAACTCTTAAGAATAAATTATTATCTCAAACAACTTTTATCTAATTTTATTTGTAACATTACATATTTTAAAAGTTATTGACAATTTATTACTAGAGAGATAATAAACACACATCATTTCTCTCCTAATTTTATTTGTATTTTAATGTGCTTTATAAATTTTTAATCTCACTTATGTGAGATTTAAGTACTATGGCTATTGTGGTAACTAGTAAGGTTTTTTTAGTAGTTCATAATTATCAAACCGACTTTTTTCTTAATGGATTGAACCGGGTTACTTATGTCTAAATCCGCTAAGAACGGGTAACCCAATAACGACCATATTAGTTATCGAGTTGAACCGAAACTCGTTATTTTATTATTTTTGTGTAGTGTTAATGGATCGTGTAAAAAATTACCAGTTCTATTACTAAGCCAGTTCTCAATCTAATAAGGACTTGGACCTTTTTCCCTTCTTGTTAGTCCGAGTCGTAATATAATAAGGACTTGGTTGGATGGATTTGATTGGCCTCATCCCAAGTTGGCCAAGCACATTCCAAGTTGTTGAAGGATTTTATCTTTTCAGGGAACAACTATTTCATTAATCAAATAAAATGAGAAACATTATATATTAAGAATCATTTCATGGTTTTTTCATAAACTTATTATTATTAAAAAAAAAGGGGAGGGTTTAAAATTATTACAATAATTTAGGAAAGGGGGAAGTTTCAAACCCAAGGCGCATGGATAAAAACCCAACACCCTATCTATTAGGCTATTTGACCTTATAAACACAACAAAAAGATAATACAAAACCTACCCCCACATAACCACATCTAACTAAAAGAATGATAACATTAAAGAAGACAAAACCTTATATCACTTTCTAATGAACTTGCAAAATACGACGCTTATTCGGCAATATGAGAGATCACAAAGATGTCATCATAGTCCTTTGCCAAAAAAAAAAAAAAGGACAACAAAATCACAACTAAAACAATACAAAAAAAAAATAAGCTCACAAGACATAAACACTATGAGCCGGACCTAACACCATCAAGAAACACAAGGTAAACATTTACCATCATCTGAAGACTTTGCAACGACAAGAAAACATGATTGTGAATTTCTCGAACAACTGCAATGGCCCCACGAAAGAGAGACTTCACCACCCCTTAATGTTGCAATCGTTGACAAAAACCCTACTTTGAGTGACTTCCAACAAACGTCAAGTTTTCTCCTTAATTATAATCCTTGCCAAGAGCACAAACCACTAAATTACCACCGTAGACTTAAAAAACAATTCACTTTAAGATCTGGGATTAAGCATTAGGTCATAACCTCTGCAAAGCTCTCCTCCTCAAAAGACCACAACTACAACCATAAAGGCTTCCTCGAAAAGTGAGAAAGTGACCACTATTAAAACATAAAAAGAAAGAGAAGGAATGGTTGAAAAAGGATTGTCGCTGATACCAAGGCCAAGGGTTGGGGTCAGCAATAGGTTTTTCTTTTTTTGGGCTTTTTTTTCTCTTGCACCTAGGGGTTTTTAGGGGCTGGTCGAATTTTGATGTTGTTGGTGAAGGATTTCATTTCAAAAAAGTGAAAGGTAGAAACCCAAAATCATAATAGGATTTAAATTTGGGTGTAGAGGGCGGAGTATACAACTCTAAATAATTTGATTATGTCACACATTTTATGTTCAAAAGACTTTCTTTATTTATTCAAGCCAACTTTATTTGCATTTCCGGAAAGTTACCGAGGGATGAGAACTTTTATGTTTCTTTGATTATTTGCCTTATGTTTGAGGGACTTTCGAAGTTTCGGAGCATTTTATTCTAATAGTAAAAAATACCCTACGAGAACATTATCAATAAATTACTCAATCAATGGAAAAAAAACTAGAAATGCAATATAAAGACACTAAACAAAGACCTTCAAAATGACACTTTGGGGTCATTTGAAAGTTCTCTCAAATTTATTACATATAATCATTTTCAAGTTCTTCCATCTTATTTGTGTACGTGTTACAATCTTAACAAATTTATTGCCTAAATTCCTGGGAAACCGATCTTATTTATGCTGCATGCAAGAGCACAGAATGCCTAATTAGGCTTTGGAAGGCAATGGAACCCGCTTGCGGTATTCTGCAAGAGCCCACAGTGGGTGGATGTTTCTATAAGCTGCATAATGTAGCATGCAGTTCTTCATGATCACTCCAGTGATTCCCTGCCATATATAATTAGTGATTAAAAGTTATAAAACGTTGCAAATAAAAATTTGAGCATACGTATACGCAACACAATATGTTATTTTGTGTTTCATCTTTTTTGCTCGTCAAGTTTGCAATGCAAGTAATGTAAGGGAAATATTTTTGGTTGGAATAGATGTTACAGTAAGCAAGATACCTGCTTAGGAAAATCACCATTTTCCATCTGTGAATTGATTATCAACTTTGCTGCACGATGAAGAGGTGTGGGGTCTCTTTCCGCCTGTCCTGCATGAATTAAACCCATCAT